CTAAGTATTGCGGTATTACGTGAAAAATACGAGTACAAGTGTACAGCGGTCCTCAAGCAAAAGTTTCCTGTGGCCTCACTTAAACGTTGGAAAAATATTCATAAGCCACATAACGTAACGCATGTAACTTTAACTTGTAAAATAAATCCTGTGAAAAAAGTTGTTCGTAATTTATAATTTGAAGCAAAGCGTGAGGAAAATGTGAATCCTTTAATTTACAGCAGCTTATTAAATTGAAACATGCTAGTTGGACGTTCATGCCCAGCTAACCGAAGAAGATTATGGTCCGTCAGTTTGTTGACGTATTTATTAATGAAGATATGAAGGTGAAGGCTTGTGGCCGTGTAGCATAGAGCAACAACACTAGCGTATAAATAATTCACGAATTTACAGCAGACGCAAAGAGAATTCTTCTCAATACTGGGAAAGGGTTTCCAACAAAGAACTTACTTATTAGCCATGAAAATAACGGGTGATGGTTCGAGAAGTTACTAGTGGCCACACTAAATATCGCTGAAGTAGAGTATATGTTCACATTTCCATGACTGAATCGTTACTGCCTGCCTGCTCCCTAGGAAAAGTAAGTTTAACCTATTGAATGGTGAATTTCGGTTTGACTCGACGATTCGCATCAATGAATCGATTAACTTCTTTGTGCTCGCTCCACTCAGTTAAAATCAGTCATATGACCAGTTTGGACTCAACTCTTAAACAACCTGGAGACCACTGTCTTATGGGAGATAAGACCGTGTAGCCCGTTGAAAATCAAGCGACGTTTAGGAGGAATACGTATATCGCCTCCATCTCAGAATCGAATAAGCCGTGCAAGACACCAAAGTGAAAATAGGTGGCAAGCCGAGTGTAACGTCCTGTAGTCCGTTGAAAGCCGGACAACTTTCGGAGGAGCATATCGTCTCCACGGCTTGCCACCTACTTTCAACGCTGGTATCTTACTCGGCTAATTCGACCCTGAAGACGGAGGCGATACTTTCCTCCGAATCGTCAGTTGAATTTCAACGAACTACACGATGATATATTCCAGAAGATAGTACTCTTCATAACCACCGCTGTGAGAACCTCAGATTCTGAACAACTTATCGAAAGGCGACACCATAGGCCTCCTGGCACACTTATCCAATTAAGCGCAGTCAAGCCGAACTGAGTTTGGCTGTACAGGATGTTGGACAGGCAGACCGTTTGTTCTCCCAAGTTTCCCGCTTATTAACTGTGTGTGACACTGCGTGAGACAAACAGAGTGGCAAGAAGGCGAATGTCTGCTCCCACAGCAGCTTCAACTGAATCAAACCCTATTCATGTCGACGGAACTCGATTCGGTTAGTGAGCCACCAGCCGATGCTTGTATTCCGGAAGGTTTAAAGTGCTCTGTGAACTTGTTTCTACCATTCATTGTACCCATCGTTATTATTGGTTTAAAGACACAAGGCATAATTACACCAGCAGATGACATCACTACATTTTTGCGTTGCATATTCGGCACACAAAACGACGGCCAGTACAAACAGATCAGATTATACCTATTTTGTTGAATATAACGTCGTTGTACTGCAGAGTACTGCACCGTGCATACAACAAAAAGCACTTTAACGATGCAAAGCCACTTCAGTGCTTTGTCTTTTGCTTTAAGGTTTATGGAAGCATCCTGCTCATATAATCTGAAGCATTTTTTTTAATCTGGGCGTTCTAGAGGTTGACGAGGGGAAGTCCGCACGATAGTAGAAGGAGAGAAAGCGAATGGGATTGGCAGAACAAAGGAATTACTACGTACTTAATCATAGTGACGACAATTCCGGTTCTACGACAACTAAGTTGCTTAAAGAAGATTATCATGAACTGGTGAATATAGAATATTTACAGAAGTCTAAAGGAACATTATTATAGAGAAGTGTGACACTTCGTTTATCCGGTCATCCTTCCGCTGATCCTTTTGTGGACTTCAACTAATTAAAGGCTGTGTGATTAGATGTTCTCACAGCGATTACTGTTAAGACTGATAGCTTCTGAGATGTAATGCGACCCACTCCGGCAGAACTTTGTAGATGTTTCGAAGGAATTACTGCTTCCATTTTCAGGGTGTAAGAGTAAGCCAAGCAAGAAACCACCAAAAAGTAGGCGGCGATATCTGCTTGCCGCCTGCAATTCCTTACACACTCAACAATCATATTTCCATCTCATTTGATAGTAGCATAATCCATGCTGTTGAAACAACGACGTAAAGAAATTCAGTTAGTCAACCATTGACATGAAATTTCTTTGGCGTGACATTACAAGAACATTTGTTCTTGCCAACAGTATGAATGGAATTAAAGCCCACAAGGTCTGATTTTTCGGACCCCTTAAATACGACACATCACTACTATTTTAACACTTGTTTACTTCCACAGTGGATAAAGTGACTGGAGCGTGAAGCAGGCTATTACTTTACAGCTACTGCAGACGATAAGAATGAATGAGTCTTTACGTACCTTTTCCCATACGTCAGCTTTACAACGTGCTTAGACAAAGGAACAAATTTACATTACTTTTGATGTCACTATGCAGGCTTCAGTTCGCAGCTTTCGTCACTGTTATAGGACCCTAAGCCTGTAGGTTTCTCAGCGCAAGAAAATATCAAACTCCATTCGATACACTGTATAATAAACTTGATCACATATTTTCTAATATCGACTGAAATTAGCATAATTGATGAGTTCGCTATAAAACAACACGCCAAACCGGAAATCTAAAACGGCGGAAATAAATAACAGCTAAATTCGGAAGTGAGGTTATATACACTGCACATGTTTCCACGTTATGGAAGCAGTGAACCCTACGTGCATTTTCTAAGATTCTTTGCTTTTTCATATTATGATCTCTGGGTTATGACAATTTTGTCTGGCATGTGGGTGCTCACCTGCAAGGTGTCATAACCCAGAGATAACAATATGTATAAGCACAACCATAAAACATTAGATCACACATTCTACCGTTAATTGTATGTCATGGACTTTTTTCAATTGACCTCATCCTTCCAGCCGAACTATGGCCCTGAGGTCGACTCAGCCTCTTAACAGAAACGAATACCAGGAATATTCTTGGGGGTAAAGGACGGCCGGCGCATAGGGCCGACAACCTTACCGCCATCTATGAGCCGATTGTCTAGAAAACGTGGGAACTTCAATATCTCACAACCCTATGGGCCTCCACGGCCTGTTACACGGATACCTTTACTACTCTACTACATGAGCGATATATTAACTTCATCGAACAATGTCTTTCCTGGGCAGCTGATAGCTATAAAATGTTAAAGTTATTCGCTATTCTTACAAAAAGTAAACTTTCCACACCGTCATATTCGAATTTAGGCTGTAATCTTGAGTCAGTTGAATCCATTTATATAGTTCTGAAATGATCCCCCAATCAACGAATTGATATTCCAAATAAGTTTCTTTACATAGGTTTCTGAGGAAACTGGCTCAAGTGGTAACCCATCTGAAGCATCTTCAGGACAATGTCCTGAGAAAATGAGGGATATTACCTTAAATTAGGCCGCTTCCTCCCAAATCCTTTCCACTATTATTCATTATGATCATTCACTATGATTTCTTATCACGGAATCAAGGGATACTGTAGGCCTATAGTGTGGGTTAAATGCTAATGACAGCGTCATTATACAAACTAAAAATAAAAAACAAAATTATGTTTCCATCTATTTTTCGACATACTAATTTTCTTAAATGTATTACGGACCATCCATTTCTCATATTAATTCTTTTATCTAATTGCACATATCCCAGGTGGGCATCTTAAGTTCTTGTACTCATTGCGCTCAATTTTGAAGTCTATTCCAATTCACAAATAACTCTAAGGCGGCCCATACATGTACAAGTTTGGCTCGCGAGGAGCCGGGCTCAAATTAATTTCACCACACACGGATGAGCTTGGCTCATTGGAAACCGAGCCGAGTTGGACTCGTACATGTATGGGCCTCCTAATGAGGAATGACATATTGGCAAGCAAGGGATTTATAATGCATCAAAGATGTTTCATGACACTTCATTTTTTGGGGGGGGGCGGGATTGCAGGCCCATAAGTTGAACATGTTGTCGTGTTACAGTGACACTCAACAGAGTTCTCGTTTGGAGATCAAAGTTTTCTCTTCACAGGCCTCCTTACAACTAACTTCTAAACTTGTCTTCGTTATAACATCTCTGACAGGGCCACACAGAAAAAACCATTCATTGCCGTACCCCAATTATTTCTGTGGGAACATGCCTGTTTGTGAAGGCTTTACCTGCAACGGCTGTGTACATTTGCTTATTTAGAATCTGTTCCTCAGCAGCGGATATCGTTTCATTGTTTCGAGGGCATTACCCAGTAATGGTTCTACCCACTACAATATAATTAAAACTGCTTTTCAATTTTTGCACATGCACGTCTTATGAAAGACTGTTTTGAATAGTAAACTACTTGTGAGATTTGAGATTCTCATGGTAGTGGCTAAAAGAATTAAGTCTTGCAGGATGTGATGCAGTATACGTGTAGTTTGGTGGGACCTATCACCTCTATCTTCAGGGTAAAACTGTAAGCTGCATGAGAAAGGGATGAAACCACTCTAAGGATGGATGAACAGGAAACGGTCGGTGGACAGCTCAGAGGAAGGTTGTGACCCTTACTAGAGCCAATAATATTTATGTTGGAGGGAAGGAATTGAGAGAAAAAATCTTAGGAAGAGATGTAAGAAGAATTTAAGAGGAAACGATGGGGAAAGGAGAAGACTGGACAGAATATGATTCTGGGAGCTGTACTGTGACTTATCTTTCAGGAAGTATGATTCATAATATGGTGGATGGGGGGAAGGTTGGCTGCAAATGGGTGTTGGATGTAGGTACAGGGATAACCACTACACTTTGTACTATGTTGCTGAATCATTACACTTTATCAAACCAGCTGGTCACTGACACAATCCTGTAGGCAGCACACAAAATAGAACAGAACACAAGTCACAGATAGTCACGATTTATTTTTGAGTAACTTGCACACATGTTTAAAGAAGTTCAGACTGCTGTTAAGTGTGAGTCAAAGAATTTATGTGTCTAAGAAATTTAGTGTTTGTGCTGGAATGAGAGTTAGTGCCAAGGTATGGATGAGTGTGCTGTGAATAACAAATTTTCTGTGCAAGTAGCAACTACAGCTTGTAACAACCACAACATTCTGCTCTTCCCTATCCCCCTTATCACTTGATATACTGGGAATTACAGCTGATGCTTTGCTACTGTGTCTGAAACTGTGTCATCCAGTCTCCTGTTACCATACAACTGACAGTAAAAATGTTTTGCTTAGTGCCAGTCTTCTTAAATAAATAAATAAAAAAATATGCTAATGAAGATTAAGAACAGGGTGTATAATATTCCACTTGAAGCTACACAAATAATCACATGTGATGTTATAAAAACAAAAATCTGCCAGGAAGACTTTCTGTACAAACAACATGGGGATTACCAGAATGTTGTCATTCAGAAAAAATTTCCTTTTATAACACTCAAAAGTTTTCATTTCCTTCCAAATATGAAATATCATCAAAACTATCTGCTGTGAGTGACATACCATTCTTGATCAGCAACCTTTGTTTAAGAAACATACATTTGCATTGGATTCAACAATGGAAATTAAGTTCTCTTCAGTACAATGAAATCTGTAGAAAATACAGAGAGCTTCAGCAACAACATGTTGTACATTATATTTACTTCAACAATACAAACTTACAATACTGCAACAGGTTTCAAGAGAAACTTATTATAATCAACAAATATGTCAATTTCAGTTTGTTCAATTCATCAAATATCAAAGCACTCTGGATGTAGAATATCATAATTTATCTTAACTAAAAAATTATTACCATGGTAATATGACAATTTGAAAGTCCAGATCTGGTAACTGCTAAACCTCTGTAATCTCAGGAGCATCTGTGTACACACATGGCCTGTAGATGCTAATCTGTTCATTAAATTTCATTTCATTTAGCTTCATCCCATCTACAGAATAACACATACATAAATTCAAATTAATTCACAGTGTACCTCATTTTATTCATTGAACCCTTTAATCAGAATTTTGGTTTTATGTGCATTTAACAATGAAGCATACAGAATATTTAAATTGGAGAAATTGTGTATATGTTCATATGTACTCTGAGTTATAATACTATGCAAGTGGGTATTCACCAAAGTGTTTAATGATTTAAAATACTCGTATGACCAAAAAATAGTCCAAATTTCAGGACATGAAAGTTTACACACAAGAGTTTTGTGTAAACGTAACAATGCCACAACTGGTTCAAATAGGGGCAGAAAACAAAAGTTACTAGTATGCTTCAAGCACATTATCATTCCATTCATCAAAGCAATAAAATGAAGGAAATGGCTTGCTCTGCTCACCTTGTATATAAGATACAGCTAACTCTGAAATATACATTTGGAATGGGGAATTTAATCTCCATGCAAAACTAACCCGAGAATGGCAAGCTTCAGATTATGGTGGACTTTCTCCTCATGAATAATTGTAACAATAATCTTACTCATGCATTTCTAAAAAATATCAACTTTCAAACAAGTACATGGATGACTACAAAGAGATTAATATGGATAATATCACAGTACTAGTATTAATATTAATAACAATAATAAGAAGCATATTATTAAACTTCCTTCTTATGTCAACAGAATATAGTTTTTGAGTTCATACAACTGGCACAGCTCAAACTGTGCCATATACATTACTATGACTTAGAGATGTTCTTCACCTTCACAAAACAACAATACATAACTTACTTCAATAATAACATTGCAATACATAACAGATTCTGTACATTTGAACACAACCACTACAGGTTAAATATAATTAAACTCTACATTGTTTAACATTAACAGTAAGTAGCTTTCTATGAGCAATGAAGAATTCAATATGCTGTGCTTCACTTCCTTAAGCATGTCAGACTGAGTATACCTGAGCTTTCCTCATGTCCTATAGTACTAACAGTGGTCTTCAGATATTGTTGTAGTTCTGTCACTACAGAATTGAAGAGAGATTCCATTCACTATGAAGATTTAAGAGGCTGTACACCTCTAATCTATATATACTTGCACAAGGACAAACAAACATATCTGATTCCTGGTGACTGAAGTAGCCATTTGGAAATATGAATACCATGGCCAGCAAAACATTTTATATCTTTCCTGTTTGTACTGAATCCTCTTCCATTCCTCTAGATCTCCCTAGAAAGAAAGAAAGGAACATATTGTAACTTGAATAGCCATTGCCATGCTACAGCTCTGTAAACATGCTCCAACATGCCACAATAGAAGGATGCCATCTCTGGGCCATGCCCAAAATATGTGCATACAATAGAGGAAGCTGTATCTTCTTCGTGTCTGAGGTGACTTCACACAACATGAGGTAGTGGTCACGTGACATGTGTTTTATTTTTGTCTGCACAACTGGCGCATGCACTGCGACATCACACAACAGTGCATAGCGCCATGTTTTCTGTGAGGTGTGTCCATGCTGTCTTCATGATTGAGTAGATTCTGAAGAAGTGGGCAGTGAGTGAGTGAGTGAGTGAGTGAGTGAATAAGTGGCCAGAGTATAGCAAGCAAGCAGTAAGCTTGAGGAGTACAGAAAAGTACCATAAGTCAGCCTGTGAGCCTTAAAGTGTGATTTAAAGACTTTATGTGTGCAGTAGTACAGTGATATTGGGCGTGCGTGATTTAGTGAGACTTCTATAGTTCTTGTGTTATAAATCCACTGCCAGGAAATGGATAGTGAAGACTAGTGGAAAGAGACAGAGAAGATTATTATAGTAACATAACATGCAAATTTTGTATTGTGACGTGTTGTAAATGCTTTCACAAATTATGTACAATATATTCGTTTGCTATGCTGTGCTGAATGTAAAATTGTAAAATCTTGAAAAAAGGTTTAGATTTGAGTCTAGATGTTTTGCAACAGTATCTCCTATGCCATTCATTATTATTATTATTATTATTATTATTATTATTATTATTATTATTATTAGTGAGGTGAGACAGTCCACTTGGTAGTGTGGCCATTACTGGCCTACTGTACTAGCTCCAGATGACAGATGGTGATTGTGGACCAACTGGTGGAATGAAGATTATCTGGGGAAACTGAAGTACTTGAAGAAAACCTGCCCCAATGCCACTTTGTCCTCCACAAATTTCACATGACCAGATCCAGGTTTGAATCCAGGCCACCACAGTGGGAGGCCAGGAGCTAACCACCTGAGCTATGACGCAGCCTACACTGCTCATTGTATAAACGAAAACCCCTTGTTGAAAGGTTGTTAGTTTTTAACAGAAAAATTAAAATATTTATTTCAACTGAAAATTCTGAATTGAATCAAATCGATGGCATTGGTTTTAACCCTACAGAGCATGTTGGTAACTATATCTAATACCTGCTTTAATAATAAAAAACTCTGCACTTTGTAAGTAGAATGTTTTTACGAGTTTTGCATGATCCTTGGAATAATAACAACAGTATTTGGCTTGAAAGCCAACTCATGCTTGGCAGAATATTAATTTCAAAACTTTGATGCACGACATAAATGAGAGTTCAGCATTTTCCTTTATTTTCATCTTCACAATTTCACTCTCAGCAGTTCTAGTACTAGTTTACTTACCACACCAGCTATTCTTTGCAGTGTACTAGCAATTTACAGTATCTCACAGTAAATAAATTATTAGGAAATAATGTACATATGTTCAGGAATCATAAAAGTTAGCTACATGTACCACAGAGTGACAGGGGAAAACGCTTCATGCTCAAAATGTACTCTCAAAGAGAAATATTCTGTTTTGTCATGGTGTGCAACTAATTAACCTTGGTCAGATAGAGCAGTGTGGACAAAGCATTGCTAAATTACAAACCTCTCATAGGGGAGTGGAAGGGCTAAATTTCAGGTGGGCTTATACAAGAACATGGCCTATATTCACATAAATATAGTATTTTCCTGTGCAGCAATAACCAGACAGTCTCTGTAATGGAGACAGAATGTGATGATTGTGAGGTAAGAAGTCGATTTTAATACTATTTATATAAACTTCACACTTCAAAGGGTGAAATGCTTTCTTCATACTTGACTTTAAAGGACTATCTTACATTTGGCTATGTATAATATGTTTCAAACAACTTACCTAATTATATGTGTTACAAGCAGCTTTGAGATTCAGGTAACATTGCTACAGTGTCTATGACGGTCTGAGGATCTTAACCAACTCATGCACCAGGCTCCTATCCCTGAATGCAATAATGCCTTCAAGGTTACAGTGAGAAGCACTACACTGCTCTTCTGCTGTGTGATTTGCACCATACTTTAGTTCTGCCTCCTCCAGGTTCTCACCATTCTCTAGCACTCTTTTGTAGCTCACAATGCCACCACCAAGAGACCGGAGAATAGCATGTGGACCACAGGTGTCCCACATGAATGTTGAGCCCTTTGTAAGAAGGTATAAGTCAGCATTCCCACGAGCAACACACAACTGCTTGTAGCCGGCACCTGAAGCCTCAGCCACCACGTAGCCAGCTGAGCGCAGTCGACATTTGAGGTTCGGGTCCTCACTACCACTCAGTACTGCAACCTGAAAGAAAAACAAAGGTAACATCAATAAAACAAGATTCTGGAAAATAAACTGTCTGCTGGTTGGTTCAGAGGTTATTTAACAATATCGCCTGTGAAGATTATCCAACAGAAAATGATATAGGCTACAGATTATAAGAAAAGATAATTACAGGGTAGTTTGACTCACCTTCGCTCTGTCATCTTCCATGTTCCTCAGTAATGATGCAGAGCACTTAGAAAGGTCCCCAAACTTGACGCCCCACTGGCACATGCCCTCCCATCTGCAATCAGAAGCCACCTTCACATACTAAGAGAAGTACAAGAGCAAGTAAAATGAACAAAGAGGGTGACATACAAACACACAATTATAAACAAAAAGTATGCCAGATCTCTGTGAATTCAGGTTGTTAATCATTCTGTACAAAATGAAACAACCCCTACAGGAAAGCAGAACATGTCTCTGACCAACAATCTGTAATGGTTTTCATGAAACTGAAATTTTGATATCTGAAGCTGAGGGATGAACAGCTAATGCACTACCAACTGTAGACGAAGGTGAGTGGTCCAGAAATGTCACTCCCAAGGAAAGAATATTGGGACAAACTTTTAAAGGCACAAAATCTAACTCTGTTTTACTTTACTGTCTGACAGACATCACAGCACCAAGATTTATACAAGGGCTATTTGGAAAGAAATCTTAATTTATTTTAGGCAGCTAATGTAGCAGTGGGGGAAAGCTTGCGAATGTGAGGTAGCATCACATGACTCATTGCCTTGTAAACCATCACATATCTGGTCATTAGTGTTTATTTTCTCTACAGAGTGAGTTATGATGTGTCCCACAATTGATAATACCACCAGCTGTAAAATGTACTGTCTTAGCAACTGTCTTAATGCTAAAAACATGAGTACTGCAGAAATCTGTCGTGAACTATGCGCAGTTTATGGCAAATATAACGAGTGAAGGAGCTTTAAGACAATGGTGTAGAATGTTCAAAGACAGGCAGATGAACAAATGTTCACAATGAAGAGCAAAGTGGTCGACCATCTGTAGTGAGTGACAATCTTGTTCAAAGTGTTGACCAAAAATTTCATGCACTGTTCTTTATAAGATTATCACAATTAGGCTAGGCTATCACAAGTTTTGCCCAAGATGGGTTCTGAAAATGCTCATGAGTAAGCACAAAATGCAGAGAAATGACTATGGTTCTCATTTTTTTAGAGTGACACCACAAAGATGGTGATGAATTCTCAGTCACACTGTACAAGTAACAGGTGATGCAACCTGCATTTCATTTGTGAATGCTGAAACCAAAGAGCAGTCAAAACAGCAGATGTGCACACATTCTCCAAACAAGCCAAAAAAGTTTAAACAAACATCTGCCTGCCAGAAAGCTGAAGAGAGCTGCTTTCTGGAACAGGAAAGGAGCGCTGATGATGGAGTTCATGCAACAAGAAACCACGATAATGCCAGAAAGAATAAAAAATTATGTAGGACCATTCAGAACAAAAGGCATGGAATACTATACTGACATCCAGTGTAGTGCTCCTCCATGACAATGCGTGTCCGCATAGAGCTGCTTGCACTGAAGCACTGCTGGAGCATTTCAGCTGGGAGTTGTTTGACCACCCTCCTTACAGCCCTGATCTCACTTCAAGCGATTACCACCTGTTTACCTACCTGAAGAACTGGTTGGCATCACAGCGCTTCAACAGTAATGAGCAGCTGATGGAAGGTGTCAAAACATAGCTGAGCTCACAGACATGGAGAAACTTATTCCCAAATACAACAAGTGCCTCAATTCCAGTGGTGACTATGTTGAGAAGTAGCTTAAGTATGTATGTACTTTTTGTACATAATTTTTTTCCCAATTGATTGTTCAGCTAAAATCTCACTGGAGGTTTCTTTCCAAATAGCCCTCCTATTTCAGCTTAGTAATATATGAATTTTTCAAGAAGTGTGTATACACTCAACTCTCGATTATCCGGGATAATGGTGGGGATGGAAATCATGATTGATCGAAAACCCAGTTAAGGCAAATTTTATTAAAAGTAGTACTGTACTACTGTACCTTCATAATACTATAGGCCTACCTGTATTTAAATTTATTCAACCTCATTTTTATGTCATCGCAAGGTCTTTTTTTACATTACACTGAAGTATGAATTAGTTATTTCAATCACAGTGTTCAACAACATTAACACTTTTTACGAATATTCACACTTAACATTTAAAAAAGTATTATTGTCGTTTACTTTTTCATGGTGTTTTCCTTTTTCTGTTGAATACTTAACACAACACACTTCCTTTTACACCCTGACATTTTGCTAACGCACTTGAAGATCGATACAAGGAGACTAACTGGGGCGATGTATCTGTCCTTGAAACTTTCCACAAATCCTTGCATTCTTTCACCCCTACCCTAGAACATTGTGTTAGCATAACGGGACCAAAAAATGCAGAGCTCAGTTCACACTAGTGTGAAAACACTGTTACAACTCACCATGTGAAACAAAAATGAATGAATATTAAACAACATATAAGCCTCAAAAAAGCCCTTGTAGCCCAGGTTAAGACGCAAACTGGTTTATCCACCCCCGGGTAATGAAGAGTTGAATGTACTTCACTAATGCCAGTAATTTGACAGCAGTGATTTGTAAAGATAAATGAGGCATTCCTATAGATAGATATGAATAAACTGCCACCAGAAGGGGGAAGCTCAAACCCTTGAACTTTTTGGAAGGAATTTTATGATAGTAAGTAATAACACTATTAACACTATAATAATGGTAATAATAACTACATAACTGGTAACAACAACAACAGTAATAGTGGATATGATACAATATTCGGGAGATGCTCATATTTCTGGAAACATAGCTTTCACATGAACAACAGGAGCCACTACACATAATCTGTGCCTTCTTGAAGCTCACCTAGAGCCATGCTGTGTGTAGAAGGGCTGATTCACAACTCCCAATATTGGCTGACCAGAGACTCTGTCGAACACACCAATCAAGACTGTCACACATCCCAGTCCACTCTTGTAGATGTCATTTGCTGACAACTTTGCCTCTTCACCACTGATGTACTCTGAAGTTGAGTCTGAATAGCAAATATCCAGGCACTTCCAATTAGATAATGTCCAGTTCTTGTGGGCAGTCAGTACTTTCCTGTATTCAGTATGGATGAAAGTGCCAATCCATAAAGGAGACGGGTCATTCCCATAACTACAACTAGCAGAGTCCTTCCTGAGAAATGTGTCAAAATATTCCCCACTTTTTATAGAGCCTGCAGCTTCATTACCTGTTCAAAAGATCTGAAACTAGACCCTAACCTGAGTTAGATTAATATAGTCTACACTTAGAGAATGATTTGACAACACCATCCAGTGCAACTCAAAAGTATATTTATATGAATGCCTTTACACGTTTCGGTCAGTTACGACCAACTTCAGACGGCATAACACCCCACTGAGGAAACTACTGTTACATTTATCATAGTACATAAATTTGAATCAAAGTTTTATATGACAGATTTTAATTAAGATAAAATGTGGTTGAGTTAAAAATTATTAAAACTCTTAATATTTCAAATCTGAAACCGCTAAGGTCTGTGTCTTCTTGCCTCTTCTATCAATGGGAGATTGGGGTGATATTGCCGTCCTTAAGAGGTCCAGGCAGTGTTGTTTTCCCCTTTTTATACAGTTGGTTAAGAATTTGTGTTGAGTTGTTTCTCCTTTCGCTGTGTGTTGAGTGCCTCAACATACAGCAAAATGAGAAGCCGCTCAATCTCCGAAACTCTAGCCACAGAACTTTAGATCTCCTTGAATATAAACAACAGTTATATTCCAGTGTAGTAGTGAAATGAAATACAATGTTTAGCAGACAATTTTTATGAAGTATTTGCCATACAGAAAACACCAGTTTTACAGTGATGCATAAGAGAAGCTGAGAGGAAAATGTTCATAAAATAAATTAGAATTGATTTTGTTGCATTGCTCGACTCTTCTACATGTCTAATCAGAAATCAAAGCTCATGACAAAATGAAATTCTTAAATCTACACAAGTAAAAGTAAAGTTGTTCCTGTGCTTAGTTAGTCAAGCACAGGAACAACTTTACTTTTACTTGTGTAGAGTTGTTCCTGTGCATAGTTAAACAAGCACTATCCCATGAAGACATATGGGGGAATGGAGGTATAGCTCCATCATTCTTGACCTCAGCACTAGATGGAAGTGAGTGGTCAGCTTCACATTCCTGCTGTTTTACCCCTTGGGAAAGAGCCAGAAGTAACCATTGCATAGGAGGCTGGGTGGGCTCCAGAGCTGGTCTGGATACTCTGGAGTACAGAAAAATCTCTTGTTCCTGTCAGAAATTGAGCCCTAGCCACTCATCCTGCAGCCCATTGCTGTACCAGTGGAGCTATCTGAGCTTTTACTCTTAAATCTGTAACTCTACCAAACTAAAGTTGCACAAATTCATGTGCCCATAATGCAAAGAAAGAATACACTTTTGTAGCTTTCTTTATGATGAAATACAGTTTATTCTTAAGCAGTTATGTGACCAGTTAGAACTATTACTATCAGAGTGCAGAAAATCAACATGCAGTTCATGACACCAAGCAATTTTGTTATGCATCAAAACAGTGTTGCAAGATGTACTGCTTGTCTATAGCTAGGTTAACACTTTCAAGCTCTTCTTTAAAATTCCATGTTCCTTTGCACAGCAAATCAAGTAGTGACTTCTCAGGAAGCATACGAATGTTATGTGTCATTGTGTCTATCAGCCTACTGCATTCAGACCGCAGATAAAATGGACTGTCTGTACTGGTGCTATTAAAACACATAAGTCAAGTTCTTTGAAAACCCAAGTGAAATCCACCAACAGCGAATGATTTTAGTACCTAAGTAATGACAGTGCTGTGATCTGTACTGAAACATGTCATAATAACTTTGTTGGGATCCAACCGTAGTATCACAATGAACCAAATGTAACATAAAAGGTGACAACAGTGTGCTAATAACATACAGAACTAGGAGAGAGAGATAGTATACTTAAGGGTATAGTGATCTATACAAAGTAATACTGACACCATTGGCCCTGTAATCATAACTATTACAATTGCTTAACTCTGTCTAAGCCATCCACTTATTGCACCATATATGCAATCGCCAATAAATGTAAAAGTTGTCGCTGTGCTTAATTAAGCACATTGAAAATGTATAAACTACTACTGAATTGATATTAAACTAAACAGCATAGATGGCTATTTTGGCAGATATGAAAGGATTACTGTTTTACTTATTCACTCACTCATGGAGCTGAGCCCTTCTGGAGGAGCTGCCAACTCTGCAGCCACTCAAGAATTTCACAGCGTTTTATGGAACCCGAAGGTTCATTACCGTGTTCACAAGAGCCGTCCGTCCATATCCTGAGCCAGATCAATCCAATCCATACCATCCCATCCTATCTCTGTAAGATTCATTTTAATATCATCCACCCTCCTACGCATTCGTCCTCCCAGTGGTCTCTTTCCTTCTGGCTTTCCCACCAATATCCTATACACATTCGTCTTCCCATTCGTTCTACATCCCCTGCCCACCTCATCCCTTACTGCTTTACAATTTACAGTAAACAGAAGTTCTGATATACAAATGGAGATAGTTTTACAATCAACCTGAGTGATTTGGAAACATCACAAAATGTTGAATAAAGTGAGTATGTGGATCATACCAATAGGGTCAATCCATATGCCACACTGCTCCAGTGGCAGGTTCAATTGCGGTAAGTTTTCCATGTCAACATCCTCCAACCTGAGGTCTCTGTGGACCTCCAAAGCCAGCCTCTCAGCCGCCTGAGTGTCGCCACTCAGAACCTGCAAATACACCATCCCATGACCCCGATTCTCCAAACCTGGTTATTAGAAAAAGTGATACAACTAGTTCTGGGAAGGATTTATGAGCCTTTCATCATTACAGTACAATGAAAATATGTAAGCATGTCAAACATATAGGTTAAAGCTGTACAAATTGCAAAATAATTCCCTCAATTCTTTGTCCATTTTATCTGTTGTAGTGAGACTGCATGAATTTAGGTAACTAGAGCCTCATGGTACATCACATATGTCTGTGTGTATAAGTATGTGGACTTGTGTCAGTGTGTACTGTCTTGAGCAAGCAGTTATGCCAGTTCCAGCATGAAGCAGTTAATGAGCATGCAAAGTACCAGCTGTAGCACCAGAGAAGCCAACATTCCATTCACATCATGCAATGTACCAACAAACTGGGTTATGAAAAAAATGAAATTACACTTCTACAAACCGTGCTGAGGAGGGCGGCTGTAGCCACCTGATCCGCCTGCACCTGAACTGTGATGGTGTCTCCAAGCACATTGCTGAATGTGTTGCTCTCCTCTCCAAAGATGTGATTCACAATGTCAGGAAACTGTTATGCCACAAATATCAAATAAAAATAAGAACTAAAACACTGAAGATTCCTGAATGCACTGTTGCTTGCAGTTTATCAATTAATTACAGTAAACCCTTGACCTATTTTGCTTATATAGGCAAAAAGAAATGTGATGAAGTACGTGAATTTACTAAGTGTGGAATCTGAGTATATGCAGTCTGTGCCCAGTCTTGACCCTGAAATACTGCAAATTCAGTTATACTAATGTCAAGGTACTGCTTTTACCTCTTATTAGCATACTTGTCTTACAACCCATGGACAAAGGAGTTATCTTATTACATTCGCACGCGATCAAGCTACAAGCCCCGGTGCTTTTGATAACTTAAAAAACAGCATATGTAGGGTCACTAGTATCTGGTTATTAATGGGAGCTGGTGTTCAACTGTTTCCATGTATCCCCATTTAACCCATAAAGTTTAACTAACATGGATTCACCTCATTTGTCATTCTTGAGTAACCTAACCCCTCCACTGGATGAGGGTTTACTGCATTTAAGAAAATAAGAAAACCGTCTTCTCTGCCACCTGTTGGATTATCTGGAATGAGATTTCTAACAAATCTACATAAGTAGCAAGCCTTCTACATCTTACTTTATACAACAATAATTTGGTTAATGTGGTTGGATGACTGTATTATTTATTTCATAAATGAAATATGCAAAGGTTGCACAGTCTCATGTTGCTTTCAGCAAATAACTCACAACAGCAACACCCTGAGTTCAAAATGCAACGGTATGTCTATCCTAATGTAAAGTTGTCCCCGTTATTAACTAATTGATTACTATGCCATGAAGATGCATGGGGGAGTGGATGTATAGATCCACTTTCTTGACCTTCGCACTAGTTGGAGGTGAGTGGTAAGCTTCACGCCCCGGCCGCTTTACCCCTGGGAAAGAACCCCTGGTACCCACTGTATAGGATGTTGGGTGGATCCCTGAGCCAGTCTGGATGATTGGAGAAGTGAAAATTCTCAACCCTACCGGGACTCGAACTCCAACCCCTCGGATGTCCAGACCATAGCCAGTCGCTATACCAAATGTGCTATCTCAGGTCCTTTGTATGTCTGTCCCTGCTAAAGAAAAATTATAAAATGTACGTGTGCTTCCATAGGAGTTGGGATAGCTGAGTCTGCATAGTGATGAGCTACAGGCTGGATAGCCAGGGTTCGATTCCCAGCAGGGGAAATATTTTTCTCTTCTCCACAGAGTCCAGACCAGCTTAGGTGCTGACCCAACGTCCTATGCAATGTGTACCATGAGCTCTTTCTCCAGGAGAATGAAGCTGACTACTCACCTCCTTCTAGTTCTGACCTTATGTTACCTCCACTCTCCAACATGTCTTCATGGCATGGTGCTTAATTAAAAATAAAAAAAAATGCTTAAATTCGCTCAGTGGAGGGTGGAGTCCAACTGGGTCCACTCGGCATGGCGGCCACTGATTGGCCTATTGTAGCCTGCCCCGGGTGATGATGGAAAATTTTGGCGGAATGAAGATTGGCAGGGGAAACCGAAGTACTTGGAGAAAACCTGCCCTGGTGCCACTTTGTCCACCACAAATCCCACTTGACCAGACCTGGGATCGAACCCGGGCCGCCGCGGTGGGAAGCCAGTGATTAACTTCTTGAGCTATGGTGCGGCCTTGGTGCTTAATTAAGAATAGGAACAATTTCACCTTACCTTTACATATGTTTGCATATTCATTGAAGGATTAAGGATGAAAGAAAAATTGTTGAAAGAGTGGTTAACAAAGGTTCGTATTAGCACTCATACCCGACTGCCTATATCATGCTTCACTGTCTCCTGTATAAGAACATCTGCCAGCGTTTTGAAGTCTTGGACAAATCTTGGATTCTTCTCTGCCCCTTTCTTTTCTTGGACCAATAACTTGATAAGGTGTTCATCTTGCCGAATCACTCTAGCTATGTTGGCAGCCTTTTCGGACACTTTCAAGAGTGATTCAAGTATACTGGTACCCATATCTCGAACTGTAAGAAACAATTCAATGACTGCTAGAACAATATTACTCATTTTGAATTTGAGGGATATTTGAATACAGTCATGTGGATGTGGAAACTATTATACCAGTTTGTAACATACTGATTTTGACTTTCAAGGTGATTCAGTAGTTATACTGATCTTGCTTTTGGGAAAGAGCACTGTATGGAAGTGGGCTGTGTTACCAAGGCTTTCAAGGAATACACTCACTACATCTTCAGGGCTGACCATATAAGCAATACCATTCATGTGAATTTCAAATTACAGGCAATGCTGAGATTTGTTGCTTACTAAAATATCTTGTTTGTGGAGATACCTTCAGTTCTTTTTGCAAATATCTCTATTGTGTCCCAAACAGACCAATTGAAAAATTACTTGAAGGAATTCAAAGGTAGGTATGAGTATTTTCATAATAAAAGCACTAGTATAAAATGTTGGTTTATGAGAATTAATGTTTGAATGAACAAAACAGAAAGTAATAACACCAAAATTAGTTACAACACAGATCATTTCATGATAACGATTTAGGTAAGGCATCAGCACATACTGTCTTCTTCTGCCTGCACGTATTATGGCCACACTATGCACTGTACTCACTCCACATGTGATTCTATTATGACATCTTTTACAGAGAAACTATGTAAATCTGTCTGAATCTTGAGAAGTTCATTAAGCATTGAACTCTGCAGATACTGCTGAAATGTAGTGCATCATACATGTTTCATAAGTACAGGTATTAAGAAGACTTAAATGCCCTGAATAATGCAGCTTGTTATGTAACTCTTGCATTCATTAGAAGCTGTCTTAAATGACCTCCTACTATTCTGTCAGAAGGTACGCTGTCTTGATGCCAAATACTGCAATGTAATCTCAAGCACAGGATTTGCTGTTTCTGTAGCAGTGTGTACTATATTAGCAGTAGAATTTGCTGTTTAATGTCTTTTTTGGTGAATTTTCTGTTCCTTGCATAGCTGGTCTTTTGAATGAGGTGCTTTTCTACGTCACCGGCCAGAATATCTACATCAGAGAGTGAAGTTGTTACATCTTGAACCTCTTTGTCTGTTTGCCAGTAACCTTCTATATCCAGTTAAGATGCTGCCAGGAATATAAACAAGGTTGGTTATATACAGACAAAAAACAAAGAATCTTACATTCAGCATTGCTGTTTCAGACTGCTTCTACAGAAGGGGAGTGGAAAAAAATAACATGTGGGTTTGTATTTCAGTGGAATTTTTCAAGATGTGTGACTGCTTATGACAGAAAACATGTTGTAATCAAGCACCTAGCTGAAAGTAGATTCTCTTCTTAAGAATTACAAAGGATCATTTACTATCATCTTTAAGGTTCTAGTGGGCAGTAAATCATTGCTTCATTTACATCAATGCTGGTGCAGCAAAGAGGAAATGTGATGGTGGCGAATTTAATCGTTCAAATTTGATAAATTCAGTTGAAGGCGATACTCTGGCAATGCTTACAAATTTGTTTTTGTAGCAGATGATGGATTTCCTTTTAAAAAAAGTACTGAAATAATATGCACAAATTGACAGACTAGCCATAACAGAAAAGGGATTTAATCACTTACTGTGCAGAGGAAGGCACACTTGGGAATGCATCTGAAATTTTAGTAATCAAGTTCAGAACATTACGGAAATCCTTTCTTCTCACACCCATAAAGACTGACCAAGATCTACATGCATCATTCATCATCATCAGTAATCTGTCAAGACGACAGGTCCACAGTCTCTTCCAAAACAGTTCCTCCACTTGATGCAATCTAGAGCTTTCTCCTTCAAATGAAAATATCCTCTTCTGTCCTCAAGGTCATCCAGCATCTTCTTACGTCTTCTTCCTCCTCAGCTTCTGGTCACTTCTAT